ATTGAATTGATATCCATATAACAATTTCATTGCTTAAATGGACCAAATATCTGAAAATAGGATTTGGAAAATGCAGATTTGCTGATACAGTCAATTTTCTTTTCTGCATAATCATAGCATTTCACAACTATTTCTGAATTTAATTTTCCCAATAATGCAGAAAAGAAATTCACAAAATGCTGTAATTAACAAAGGTCAAATATTTAAAAAAAATAGTCATAATTTGTGAGGCTGGTTACATGGCTTCCATTTTTAAGAGGACTGAATTAAATTTATTATATACCAGTAATCACTAAATGAACAATTTTTTTTAGCACTCATAGATCATCCAGCACTACTCAAGTACAAGCTTTCATGATGTCAGCTTTACCAATTAGGCCAGACAGGAAACATGACCAGAAGCTAGTTCTACTTTATTGTAAAGCTACCTTACCAGTGCCTTCTGAAAGGACCAATCTCCTGCCATCTCCTTTATAACCCAAGAAACTAAAGAGGATCCCTCCTGAACCTCTTGCCCTGCCACTATCCAGCTACAGGTTATGCTGTCTCTTATCTGACTATTCCTTAGGCACCATCTCTTCATCCTGTCTCCCAAGATCTTTCTCACATACATTATACATCAAGTCCTATTCAACACTGTTTTTATTTAAATTTTGTGTCTGTACATGTTTTCTATTTTCCGTGCATAGTATGACAGTATTGAGACTGATTAACTGAAGACACCGATTTCTGAATAGGGCAGATTTTGTTTCCAAAATTATGTCTTGCCTTACTTGTCAATATATAGACCAGTATATTGACAGTGAAGTCCTTCCCTTTCCCCATCTTCTGGGCAACAAGGGTGACTGGGGCTTTAATTTGCAGAAGGATGCAGTTTTGAAAATTGTGCAAAGCTACTTAAAACTCAAATATACCTCTTAAAGTTGGGTACATATGCATTAAAGGGCTATTTTTTCTTTAGGATAGTGTTGGTTTGAATCATATGTAGTGTTTGTGACTGCTCAATCCAATTAATTTTATCATATAAAATTGCTATTTGATTTCCAAATGTTCCAAACTATGCTTGAGTGCTATTTAATTAAAGTAACTATTTTTTCTAAGCACTTTAAGTACTACAATTGCACAACTGACAACAAAACAAATGGCTTTATAAATTACTCTAGACTCATTGTTCAAGATCTAAATGGGTCTTTTCAATCATCCTCTCCTTACTATCCTTTTGTAATCCAGTTTTGAAAGTAAGTACACAAGATAGTTTCACCAAAATACGAGAAAATATGGTTGAAATGAAAAGAAGTCAAAATTGGACTCCTACAACTTGAAGAACACTTGTAAGAGTTCTTCAGATTCCTAGCTACTATAAAAAATGTGTTGACTGTAGATTTCCAAAAGAATGTTTATACAATGGTTTATATTTAAAATGTAAAATGAAGAAAGATATACTGCTCAAAAAAATAAAGGGAACACATTGTGTTCCCTTTATTTTTTTGAGCAGTATATATTGAATACCTGGCTATCCCTTAGGATGTTTTTACAATATTTAGAGCAGATATTAGCAAAGGAAATCAAGAAAACTGCACTCAATTTCCCACCATTACTGGCTTCATTCTCCTTAAGTATTTCACAAAATCTAAGCTGACAAAGCTGAAGTATCTGTTGTAAACGTGGTGATAATTTTCATATTCTACTGGAAGACACTCCAGGAATGCTCTTTGAAGATATCTCAAGTATAGGAGTATTTTCAGGAGGCATCTTGAATATCAAGAGGTATATAAACATATCCAACAGCCATAGGTAAAGTTTTAGATGCCAGCTTTTCAAATGTATATTTATTTTTATAGAGGGAAACATGGATTCTAATAATTAAAATCTATTTTGTCAATTATAAACAAACAATTCAGAGTTTTTTTAAAAGACAAAATGCCATGAATTTTTTTCTCTCTGAATAGATCAGGCATGTCAAACTCGTGATGTCACATGACGTTGCGCGACGTATTGCAACTTTTTCCCCATTGCCGGCAATGGGGTGGGCGCGGTTTCGTCATGGTGCGTCCGGCCCATGGGCCAGCAGTTTAACATGCCTGCGATAAAGCATCTGATGATGTCAGCTGTTCTAATACTGTATATTCCAGCATATAAGGCGACCCGGCGTCTAAGACGACTCCCGTCTTCGGCGTCGAGTCGCATGTCTAGAAAGTCGTCTTATATGCCGGAAGCTACCATAATTTCCGGCGTATAAGACGACCCCCGACTTCGGCACCGAGTTTAACGAATGCAAAAGTCAGTTTAACGCTTGCAAAAGTCGTCTTATACGCCGGAAAGTACGGTATATGCATTCTGGTGTCCCCAGCAAACAGGTGCAATTAACCAAACAATATGACTCTCCATCTGTAGTTTCAAGTCTGTTGTCCAAACCAGGGGCTTTGTCTTATTGCTGTCTAAATGTGACAAGGAAAGAAGCCAAGAACAAGCCATGATTTTATTCAATGATTTGTTCTAAAAGCTCACTATTTTATCTGAGGAGGAAAAATAATGGAAAAGAAAAAAAAGGGAATTGTAAAAGAATAAACTAGTTTAGTGATTGAGTAAATTTAGATGTTTTTGTAACAAAAGAACCAAAGGAATATGTTATAATACTTGCGACCCAATCTTCTCTTGGGTTTTTTCCCCTTTACCAAACTCTTCACATTTCCTCAATTTAAAAAAGCGTAAATTCTTTCTTTGCAAGTAGTATAGACTTGCTGTCTGGTATCTCCTACTTTTCCAAAACTTGTCTCCCTTTTCTACCTTCCATTCAAATAGAAAGAGTTCCTTCATAAAAACAGATTGGAAATTAATTGATTGTATCACATTATAGTTGATTATAACACATCAATCTTGTCCTTTATTTTACAAACACAGCCATGCTATGTGAGCTAGAGCAGGTGTTGTTCCGTCTACCTGAAAAAAGATTTTTTAACCCAGTATTTGCCAATAGATATTAGAATTCTGATAATATTCCAAATGTATTCCCAAATATAATTCAATTAGAGAATTTGATAATTCAATTAGACAAATTATTTTGAACAATCTGGCTGCAAAGAAAGTCCCTGAGGGCTTCTCCCAAGAGCTCTGGAGGCTGGATGTAATCCAGGACTTCACTTCGTATTCTCTAATCCAGAGGTCCTCAGGCCCTGGTCCGTGGACCAGTACCGAGCCGTGGCATGCCAGCAACTGGTCTGCACAAACAAGGAAAGCCCCATCCACAGGATGCAAACAATACATAAAACCACGCCCCCTCCGGTTCGTGGAAAAACCACTCTCCACATAACCGGCCCCTGGTGTCCAAAAGGTTGGGGACCTCTGCTCTAATCCACAGAGTGTAGATGTTTTGCTCAGACATTTTTACATAAGTGAAACATTTAAACAGTTAAATCGTTAATTTAATTGCATTTCAGCTATTATTGGATGAAGGAGGCTGGGCAATCTACAAAGGGGTAGATTTAACATTGTTATCCATCAAGCCATTTTCTGGGTTATTTTAAAATTTGATAGCAACGCTAAGAGTACTTGAAGTTTGATATATCTATGTTTTCATTGTTTGCCCCAAATCAGCAGGAAATAATAACATTATTCTTCAGCAATCTAATGCTAAAATGTGATGGCATAATCTTTCAGAGTTCCCAAAAAGGGGCTTTGGAGGCTACATCCCTCCATAGATTGTCTACCCTGCTCTATTCAATACAGTTGTATACTTGTAACTGGGCTAAGAAATGGAGATGAGCAACGCCCCAAGTCGGACACAACTGGACAGGGGAAACCTTTATCTTTACATTTTCTACTCAAGCACAAAAATATATCCTGTTAAACATTAATATTACTGGCAGTTATGAGTTATAGACACACAGGTGTATTGTTTTAACTAAATGTAACATGGTTTTTATATGTAAGATATTATTTCATTTTATACATATTATGTATTTTTAACATTCCTCTGCCAGAATCCTGCCAGATTAAGGAACTCTTTTAATACAGAATCAATTCTAAATGAGGAAAAATCCAAGCCCTTGAAACTCTCTACTATTCTAATTTATCCTCAAGTCAATTTCAAAAATTAATAAAAAAAATAATGCACTGATTCAGAGGATTTTGAAGATTAATATACAATTGAGAGCAGAGGTTTTTCTTTGGGGGGATTGATAGATGAACAGTTTGGAAAAAAGTTGTGGAACTTTGTTTTTGTACACAATAACTGCAGTGAGATTATTACATGCACAAAGGAAAAAACTGGCACTATCCACAATGAGGAATGGCTGGTAAAGATGATAGAACGTGCTGAGATGGCCAAACTGACTTCCTTGATCAGAGAAAAAGACAATTATCTATGTTTATAGTTGACCTGGAAACTCCTTATAGATTTTTTGCCCGAAACAGAAAAAAATAATTTATGATTTATGGGTCTGATGATTAGACAGATTATTGAAAGAAGAGAGTTATGTTGTAACTATAAAGTAAAAGGAAACTCTATAGTTGTATTTATAACTGCTATAAAGAAGATTGGAAGTTACTTCCTTGTATTTTTTTTTCTTTTTGTACTTTTAGCTTTATTTTTGATTTAAACATCTAAGGAGATTCTCAGTAATCCAGGTCATAGTTGACTCAAAGATGCTTTTTCTTTCTTTCAAAAGACAACTGGACTTTTTTTTTAATTTGAGGAAAAAGATGAAAACATTTTGCTTCTCATCCAAGAAGTTTCATCAGTTATAACAGTTCTCTTTGATTTCTTTTTTCTTTTCTTCCCTTACTTTGTATTAGTTTTTAACTTCATTTTTTTTTTTAAAAAAAAACACCTTTGCATAAAATTATGCAACACGGCAGAAGACCATCACAGGGCAATTACAATTTTAATGACCTAATTTTACTTTCAAGAGAACCTGTACACATTTTCTAATTCAAATCACATTATATTATTGTTCTCCAAAGTTCAAATGAAATCTTTGCAAGTGTACGTGTTTACTTACATTTCCCATGTATTCCGAAAGCAGATCTTGCAAGGCTTGTCGCACTGCATTACACTCTGCCACTATGCGTTCCCGTCGGTCATCACGTGTGCAGGATGAGTCAGCCATTAGGGCTGCACCACTAATGATGCTCTCCAGGCGCTCTTCTAAGGATGGCCTAAAACGCTCTTCGCTGAAGTTCAATGGATCTACAATAATTTGTTTCTGTTAAAAAAAGAAATGGTTTATAAGTTTTAATAAAGTGACATGTTATTCTGGATTAGTTTGATGAAGACCTCTTAAAATTACTACAAAATAGTCTCTGTTTAACAAGTGTAATCTTAAAACATTTAGATCAATATACTACCCAGAATTAACCCAGTGTAACACTGGCTAAAACTAGAATTCAGTCTACAGAGATCTATGTTGACAGTCGGATTTTAGTCATTTTCTTAGCTTCAAGTATTACTTTTTAGAATAAGTATACATCAAAACATTTATTTGAACTTAAGGCTGCATTAGTGACTTCATTTATATTATCAGAGAGTAGACTCCGGTTTTGTGGTTTGTCAGTCTTCCAGTTATTCCTTAATGTTAAAGTAATATTCATTAACCAGGTTTATTATTTTAAAAAACTCAGCAGCTTTTTGTTTTTCTTAAAAATTCTCCTGGCTGCTAAGGTTTCTTTGATTTAGTATCAGCAGGCCCAAATATTTTAATTACACTAATTATGCCATTATCTTTTATCTGATTTTTTAATTGACATCAATTATGCCACTTTACTGCAAGAATGAAACTGCTCAGTAAATTCTCATATAGCACTATTGTTTATATATTCTATAATATTTTACACATCTGAGAGTGAATTTATTTTCTCCACACTTTGCCAATGTAGCTAGAAGTGACCTATTTGAAATATTAAAAGGGAATATTAAGAGACTGTGTTGAGGAAGGAAACCCTTTCACCTGAAACAAAAGTTTAATAGTTGTTCTACGAAAGTCTGAGGCCAATTTTTTTCCTTAAATTTTTTTGAAGGAAGTTTACACATTCTCTAACCAGAGGGGGAAAAAATGGTACCAAATATTTGGCATATCCCCCTAGTAAGAACTTTCACAAAAAACTATTGCTCAAACATGAGGCAGCAGCATTTTAGGGTCACAGAATCTAGTAACTCATTTAAGATCATCAGGTCAAAAGAAAAAATATCAAGAACACTACAAGTAGTTGTGTAAGAAAGGTAAATTAATTTGTTGTACAAGCTGCATCTCCTCAGATTCTATCTTCTACATAACTATCAGAGACATAGTAGCCTTGACCTCATTCCAAGTGGCCAATCTGAGCTCAGGGGTGGAGTGGAAACTGGGAAAGCTGGATAACGGAAGATCAATTTGGCTGGGAAAAGTACCTTGCAGATTATGGAGAGCTGCGTATGGTTGACTAGGAGAAGTGGTTCTCAACCAGAGATATGTATATCAGGTGTGTCACTCAAAAATAGTTCAAGTGGAACAGAGTAAACTGTAACTGTGCTGAGAAAGCGCAAGGGCCTCATTCCTGGTTATCTGACAGCCTGTCTGAATTCTGGAAAATCTGGAAGCCTAGCCTCCAAACTGGAAGCCCGTTGCACTTTCTCTCAAAAAACTAAAAAATTGAAATTTAAAATAAATTGATACAAAACTCTTGATTTTCCAATAAGAGAAGACTTTAAGTGCTGTTATAAAATAAGTTACAAGCAATTTGCATTTCTAAATTGCTAGAGTTGGTTTGAGCTGGGCATTATTAAACTAGGTGTTCATTGTACATAATTTAATAATTCCCAATTTGCATTCCTACAAATAAGTTTCAGTGTTTCTCAACCTTGACAATTTTAAGGCATGTGGACCTCAACTCTCAATTCTGGGAGTTGAAGTCCACATGCCTTAAAATTGTCAAGGTTGAGAAACACTGAGTTAGATCCTACTATATTTTGAAAAATAATACTTTTATCAGTTTTTACAATTATTGAATAACGATCCCCCTTATGTCAAGGTTGCAAATCAGAAACTGTCAAATCATATTGCTCCAGAAATACAGTGCCAAACTTATTTATGGTACAAATTTAAAACTTACATCAAAGTTATTAAGTGCATAAGCCAACTCTCCACCCCCACTCTGATGCTGGGCAGAATCTTCGGAAGCTGTTGCTTGGGCAGCATTAGAGATTCCTGTGACTGCCTGCTGCAACTGCTTGTAGATCAAGTCCCTATTAGCTTTATAAGCAGCTACATCTGGATGTTGGAGGCAAGCTTGAGAAGCGGTATAAAGTATAGGAATGTTTTTCTGAAGAATTCCTCTGGCTGCAGCCATCTGGTCACGATGGCCAATGTCTTTCAGTTCCTGTAGAAAGAGTTACATTTTATTTAGAGATAAAAGATTTTTTGGGAATTTAGTTTTTATATCAGCAGTGACAAGATGTGAGACTTCCAAGTATAAATCCCAAAAGCCAAATGGAGAGGGGCTGATGAAGTCCCACAGCACCAGGAGAGATACATATTGTCCATTCCTTATCTGACCTATTTCAATTAAGAAACATAGGGTAGCCCATATCAGGATGCATCAGGAAATTACATGATTTCTGGAACACAATGTTTGCAAATGAAGCCTGAAATGTCAATTTTGTAACTGAAGTTACAATTCCATCTGAATTGCAGAAAAAAGTATAAGCCAAACCTTAATGCTTAATCTGTAAGTGTGTATTAAACAGGCAGCAGTATCTCACAACAAACATCCTTCTCATCTCCTTATACCAGTTTATTCAGCAGCCTCTCCCATTCTAAGATACCTGCCCACTGTTTTATTTTTTGTTAAAAAAATTGGAACAAGCTATTCAACTGAATAATTATGTAATTAGGAACAGTTGCATAGACATGACTCTTGTTCTGTAGCTTTTGAGAAAAATGGGTAGCTTGATTTTAACTTGTTCCATAGAGAAGGAATTGCAGATTAAGTAATGACACTCTTTGTATTTTGCTAATCTCTATGAGGGAGATAGGCAGTTAAGAAGTTTGACATATAAATAAACAAACAATCTCATTCAAGAGACTAGCAAAACTGAAGCAGCTGACTAAAGATCTTCCCCACATTCAGCCAGCTCTTAGGACAGAAGTTAGAAGCAGTTAAATATTTTCTGAGAGACCTGTAGTAAATTGGGGCCACTTTGAATCTTTCCTTCTGAAAAAGGATCAAACTGAAGATAATGACACCTTACATGTCTTAGATTACATGAGCAGCATAATGTAGAAAGGAAAGAGCCAGGCAGCAGTATTGCAGGCAGGAGCCAATAAAATGCAGATTTCTATTGCAAACAAACTCTTTGGTAGTAAAATGGTCACATGAGTAGCTACTCACACAAAATTGGGTGGATTCGTGTAATTCTTCCAGGCTTATTATGGCATGACTCTTTCAGCAACTTATAAACCAGTGATGGCGAACCTTTTAGAGAGCGAGTGCCCAAACCTCAACCCAAAACCCACTTATGTATTGCCGGGTGCCGGGGGGCGTGGCCTGCCAGGTGGGTGTGGCTACAATGGTTATGGCAGACAGGTGGGTATGGCCAGCTCCATGTTGCTCCTGGGGAGGGATGCCTGTGGGGGCCGGGCAGGGTTGGGGGAGATCCAGGGGTCTCTGGCGGGTGGAGCGGTGGACAGGAGGCTGGTTCTGTGGGGTGAGGCGAGGCAGGGCGGGGATGCCATGTCGCAGGGCAAGGCGAGGCAGGGACCAGGGCGGCTGCTGCCTGACACCATCGGCCCCCGCACACAAAGGCCAGCAAGTGCATGGGTGCTGGGATGCATCCGGCCACATGGGACCTTGGCAAGTTAGCGGGCAGCTGGTTGAAGAAGACGGTTGCCATCTCCGGAGCATGGTGCGCGTGCCCACAGAGAGGGCTCCGAGTGCCACCTCTGGCACGCGTGCCATAGGTTCGCCGCCACTGTTATAAACTGTCAAAAGTATATTTTGTCTCCTAGATTCTATCCCTTTAATATGGCTGATTTCCACCAAGGCGCATTGCTTACAATTGTCTCCCTTGTAGCTACAGTGTTTCCCTACCCATGTGGCGGCTTTAGCTTTCTTTAAAAACAAAAGCTCCTGCAATTACATCACAATTTATACATCCTCTTCACACAATGGTCCATGTTATCATTTTGACATTCTATTATAATTGTTTCTGTATTGTAACAGTCAGAATTTGTAAAAGTATTAATCCTAAAATTACTATACCTGCTGTCTCTTGCCTGCCATTATATTAAGCTTGTCCACTTCTGGTTTAAGAGCTTTATACTGTATTCCTAAATCTTGTTCAGTTCCAGCATTTCTTAGTTTTAGAATGCCTTCTTCCACCTAGAGATTGAAATCAGTTTTAAATTATTCACAATATCTATAATTTAGTATGAATTCTACAAAAGCAGTTATTTATAATATCACTGTACTTAAGCAAGAGAAATATGGTCTAACCCCAACCCCAAAGCAAATCAATAAAATCAGACACGCTAGCAAAACAAGAGAAAACCATTACGTCTGTGAGTATCAGATTTCAATAAGCTATTAATGTTTTATATTGAATTTAGCAATAGCAATTTATGTTAAAAGGCCATGAACACATCAGATCCAAATTAAATTAAAGAACTGCCTGGGGTAAAGAAGTAAAACAGAATTTGTTCAACTGATGGCAAATCTGTCAACCAACATGTAACAATATAGGAATAGATCTTTTATTTTATAGAAATGTTCCATTTAGACCAGAATCTTGTGTCCACAATAACCCAACATTTCTTAAAAACTCCAAAGCAGGATATAAAAGACATGCTCTCGCCCTATTAACACCTTTTCCTGCAAGTTAGAAACAATGATTCTGAATTCATTTTATTATGATGCCATTAAAATAGTGAACAATATATTCAAGACTTACAACTTTAAGTTGCACAAGTAGTCTGTAGACATCAGCCATGTCAGCCAAAATGAGTAGCCGGGTAACTGCTGATAAGAGGGCCCGAGCTGCTCTCACCATATTCCCTCGTTTCACAGAAGAACAGGGGTCATCAGCAAATTCTCCAGAGGCACTCTTCATTAAGTCTCCTATATATACAGAAAGTAGCTGTAAGGCTTCAGCTTTTAGGATGATTAGGCAAGTATACCCAATTCAGCCAAAACTAAAATGGCATGGACACTTGTCATTAATACCTCTATCACTATAATTTTCAACACATTCTCTTCCAAAACAATTTAATGTTGGCACTTAGGCAAGTATTTCAAGATTAAGGATTTGCTGCTTATATAGGATTCAATGGCCTTAACAGAATGTCCAAATATTCAACCTGAAGCTGGAAAGAGAAGTAAACTGTGTTACTGGCTTTTTAAAGAAGACACATCTTTGTCTGATGTACTTAAGCAATACCATGCAAGCCCAGGAAAAGGCATGGCTTCATTATGGAAGCATTGATCTTGGTCTCTACGCTGGATTTCAAATACCTTTTAAAGTTCAAATACTGTACACTTTGAAATCTAGCCAAGATACAAAATGGGAATAATGTAAAATGTCGACTGTTATTGCTAAATAATAGTCAAATTTAGGCCTGTACAAATCTTGAACAAGATGCTTTTTGAACTATTAAAACATACTATATTTTTAGAAATGTAGTTGGAAACTATTCCTGGTTTTGTTGACATACATGTGGATAAACAGCTACTTTGCTTTGCTGGGAAAAATGAAGCAAAATTGCATGCACATTAATGTGAAGACACCTGGGAGATTTTTGAAGCCTAGAAAATGATGTGCCTGTTTTAATTATGCAAAAAAAAAGGTACTCTGTATGTGCCATTATGTTCTCAAACATCTTGTTTTAAATGGTTTTCATAGCCCCATTAAAATTATAGCTTTTTGTCAGCTGATAATACGCTCTATTAACATTTTAAAAATGGGGTCGAGGGGAAGAAAATATTGTTTTGGATTTTTTTTGTAGTAGAAGATATCAATTCAATCACCTAAGTTAAAGGCAATTTAAGATCATCCCGTTTTATACCAAGCTTTTTGGAAGTAACAAACAACAAAATCCTCTGCGGGTAATAATGGATCTATTTTCAATTTTACAATAAAATGTTGTTTAGGAAATACTTTAATAGACATCAGCCAATAAAGACAAAATTTCATTCCACAAATTTAATGGCTGACTCAAGGTCATTCAATATTTTTCTGTCCAGCCCTTCTCACAGGACAATGTGAGATTAAGCTGAGAGTGGAATAACTATATACACTTCTTTGAGGCCCTGTACATACATAAAAAAATGTAAAATTACATAAGACATGCTGATGCATATCAAAAGCTGAGCTTATCCCCAAGCTGGTGTTTAAATATACTGTATGCACATACTGACAAGCAAACTATTTCTTTTTTTAAATTTGTAATTCCTGTGAACTAATTTACAAATGTGGACAATCGTAAGAGTTGCAACTTCATCAAAGGTATACCTTGTTTGCGAACATCTTCCACAGCTGCTACCAGTTCTTCTTTAAGAAACTGGCTCTCCTTCGCAATTTTGTCCCCCTTTTCCAAAAAGTTCTCTGTTGCTTGCTCAACTGATGCAGCAAGAACATGTGCCTTTTTAGATCGGCCTCTTTTTTTGTTGGAAGGACCTTTGTTGCTTGTATTGACCAATGTTGTAACCTGAAAACAGCATAATATGATTGCTTGAACAAGATAACTCAAGTAACACACTCCATATTTAAATAACAAAGCTTCAGCTAGAAGGGGTTTTTTTGGGAACTCAGATGAAAAATCTGGAAACATTCAAAACATGTATACATCCTGGTGAGTTTCATATATCTATAAATCAGTAATGTGTGAAATTTTGGGGAGAATACTTGTGGAACCACAACATTAATAACAAAAAATCAAAAGATAACCATATAAAATTTTCATTACCTGGGTAACAAGAGGTTCAAGCAGTCTTTCAACTGCCAGTGTTCTTATTTCCAGGCTTTTTGGGTCCCATTTGAAATTAACATTTCCTGTATTAATGGTAGTCATTTCTAGAAAAGAAAAGTATTAAATCATTTCAATTCTCTACACAACACAAACATCTATTTATGCAGCAAACTCACTATAATCAATGGAGGTTACTCAAAACTAAATTCAGACTAAATAACTCAGACCCAAAATAGAGCCATTTACATGTATCATTTGAGTTCTTCTGACCAGCCAATCAAACTGAGATTTAGACTTGTAGTTGGAATTTCTTTCTTGACCTTTACTCCAGGGAGCAACTTTCTTGAGTATCAATATGCGACCTTGCACAATAAAATTAACTGAAAATAGCTCAAGATCACATGGTGAAATTGGATTATTTCAGAAAATTAATTTTGAGGTTGATATATCTAGGATTTTGTATGCCATCCTGGAACCTTTGTTTTAGATTAAACTTTATCCCATTTTTTTTTATCTTTCCCTTCCTATAGTTTTCTTTTAAATCAATTACTCTTTAAAAAGAAAATATCCCACCAGTTAAAAGTGACTTATAAAAGGAATAATCCTAACTGTAGAATGGAAGGACTAGATCAGTGGTGGCGAACGTATGGCACGGGTGCCAGAGGTGGCACTCAGAGTCCTCTCTGTGGGCACGCACACCATCGCCATCCTAGGCCTTCAGCTGGGTTTTATAAAACCTTTTCGCTTTAGGCCTCCGCCGCCGTGTGCAAAAAAAAAAAAAAAAGTTTCAATCAGTCAATTTCAACTTCTCACGGGGGAAAAAAAAGATCTTGCAAAGTTGGAATTGATTGATTGAACTTTTTAGTTCTACCCAGTCTGCCATTACCACTGCAGCCACATTCACCCAATTGACCACGCTCACCCAATTGGCCATGCCCAGCCAATGGGCCACACCCACCCGGCACCCGATGATGCATAAGTGGGTTTTGGGTTGCAGTTTGGGCACTTGGTCTCTAAAAGTTTCGCCATCACTGGACTAGATAAACTGTCCATTCCAACCATTTCATGAGTTTGCAATAAAAAAAAAACACAGCAGCAATATTCTAGCTGCATCTTTATATTCTGCTGCCACAATAGTATATATAGTATACTGCGTTACTACCCACACCCCTCACAGGGTTATTGTTGCAGGGAAAATAGGAAGTGGGAGCACTGTGTACTCCATATTAAGTTATACCTAACAAAGGCAAATACTAATTTAGTTCTAACCAAAGACTTAGATCTTCATAAAAATGCTAAGGTTTAATTACTTGTAGTTGTAGCCAATATAGTTCTACTCACTTTCAATAACAGCTATTTCCATCTAACAAAACTACAAAAGAAGTACATGGGAAAACATGGCATATTTTACATGCCTTAAGGAAGTTATCAATGTTGATGTCTTCTTGCTAACACCCTCTTCTAAACACTTACTTTTCTATCACATAAAATGCGAACAAGTTCCTTGTGTACATTCAAAACCTCATTTTTTGGGATCTAGAGGTAATCCTATAGAAAATGTCATTGTTTAAATATACCCTATTATTTTGCTTTATAGGTAGTCTGCAACCGATGACCATAATTGAGCTCAGAATTTGTTATAAGTTGCTACTGTTAAGCAAGGCACCCACATGATCCCTTTACTTAATAATGCCATCTCTCCTTTAAATGGAGCATGGGGGGCTGGGGGGGGGGTCCTGGGAGGGCTGGTGCAGGCCTAGGTCTGCACTGCAGCCCCATCCCAGCTCATACATGGCCTGAACTGGGCCTCTTACATCCCCACCCTTTGCACAGCTTCCCACCCTGCTGAGACCTTGAAGTGGGCCTTGGGCCTCCTCCCTCCGTTTGTCCACTTATTTCTTCCAAAGATCATCTTTCCAAAACAGCACCCAGATGATTCAATGCATGGCCTTCCTCCAGAGGCCACCTTTCATCATTCTGGGAGATCACAAGAAAGCTGCCCATTTCCAGAGTGGAAGGCCATGCATCACATTGTATGGATGCTCTTTTGGAAAGGCAACCTTTGGAAGAGATAAGTGGAGTAAGGTGTGACTGGGCAGGGAGGAGGCCCAAGGTTGTGGGACCCAATGGGATGGGAAGCACTCCCAAGGCCTGTGGGAAATAGGTCCAAGGAACCTACCCAGGCAGGATGAAGAGGAAAAATTAAGCAAGTGTGGCAGTTACAATGTCCCTGAGGCCAGTCATAAGGGCCTGAATTGTGATCACTTGACTATGAAGGAGTTGCAACAATTGCAACTTTGGATTCGGGTTGTCATTTCAAATGGCTGCTGAATGAATGGTATGAAATGGATTCTCAAGCATTCTAGATATGTTTTGTTTGTGAAACAAGAGACATGCTTGAAACACAGCTGTTTGAAACGCAAAAACACTTCAGAATGCCCAAAACGGCATTTTGCTAAAAACAGCAATTCATTCTTGAATGGGGGGCATTTTCAAATTCAGTATTTTTGCACATCTTTATTGCTTTCCACATAATGATCTGACTGTAGATCTCATTAGAACCTTGCAATTAGAAACTTGCAAAGTAAAATCAGAAAAGAGACTTCTAAATAAAACTTAATTACTGCAATGTGTTCAAGTATTAGATGTATGGACAATCATAAAACAGCACAGTTATATCAATTTCATTATAGAATGACATTATCTTAATAACTAAAATCCACCAAGAATTTTTAAAACATAAAATGGAGACAAGTAAGTATCCTAATAGCTCCATGCGGTTCAAGTTGAAGAAATATGCTTTTTTTAAAAGTGCAATTGAAATAATTAAATTTTAATCTGAATATATGTAATTCAAAAGTGAAAGCCAGTTTGGTGTAGTGATTAAGCACCAGGCTAGAAATCAAGAGACTCTGAGATTTAGTCACACTTTAAATATCAGGCCAGCTAGGTGACCTTGGGCCAGTCACATACTCTCAGCCCTAGGAAGAAGGCTGTGGCAAACCACTCCCTAAAACCTTGCCAAGAAAAGGGCAGGGCTTTGTGCAGGCAGTCACTAGGAGTCAAAATAGATACCAAAAAAAAAGCTGCAATTTAGGACCACAAAATTATGCTGTCAACAAACTAACCAATTTAAAAACTTTTTATTTTGATTATAATTAAAGTATCATTTAGTTGTTTTCAGCAAAAAAAATTAAATGGTGAAAACTTCCTCAATGCACAGCAAAGCCAAACCATTCAACTGGGGTGGGGGAATCAATTCTAAGTTTCTAGTCATACTATTTAATTCTAAGTTGTCCAGTCAAGACAACTTTCCATGAAGATGGATGGATATGGGTAGAGGAACTGCAATATGAAAACTGACAACTCCCCAATCCAACTGGATGAGTGAACTCTGTTTTCAAACTATTCAAGATACACGTTGCTTTTTTGGTGAAGCCCATGTCATATTATAGGTACACATTCTCTTATACTATTCCATAATACAGGAACTTTAAACTATAGAAATAGTTTAAACTGGTCTCAAAAGCCCATTTCCTTTCTTTACATTTTGAAAGCTTATTAATTTTTATGTCTGCATCTTAAGGATGTTCATGGAAAACTGCAACAGCCAAACTTTTAGCTGCTGAAAATTTTACAATTACAGGAAATAATCTTATTTTAAGCACAACTGAATTTTCCCTTTGACTTTCTTGAAAACTCAAGTGGTTCTGTATCACACTGAGCCTTTCAACACAACAGGTTGGTCTCATTCCATGGAAACTTTTGAAAGTTCCCGGATTTTCTTTTTGCATGGCTGTCCTCAATGGCTGTTCTGCTCTTTGTTTCTCTCACCTCTTCTACCATTCTTTCTCGTTCATTTCCCCAGTCTATAACTTCTCATTCAGCCACCTTGCATCAGGCAGATTATTCATGGTGGATTTTGTAGTTAGTAAACCAAACATCAAGAGCAGAAATTTAAATACATGAAAACATATCAGCAAACCTTCACTTCACAGGTTTCAATGAAACACGTCTGTGACATCTGTCTAAAATGTATGCAATTGTTGAGCAGATAGCAATACGGGTGATGTCATTATTCCATTCAAAAATTTTACCCTTGTTTTTTTCCCTGGTACTTTCACTCTAGATACAACAAGAGATACTGTAGTAGTTTTGGCAAGCAGCCTAAATGACAATTAAATGACTGCATCATTAATGAAAGTACTATACTATAGTTGTCTGGCAGATTATATAATAGCCATTAATCCTCCTATCCAGAGAACTTTTGATTACAAAACGCATACTGCACTGAGACTTACTATGGGGCAAACAATAATCACAATAAATGGAACATGTTTTCTTTAATACTGTTTATTTTGAGCACTCACATTAAACCAACACTGGATGAATCGATTAATGAATGGTTCCACAATCACACAGTAACGGGAAAAGGATTTGTTACTCCTGTAAGAAAGTGTATCTGTAGGAACATCCTGAATTTAGATTTTATTTAGTGATTTTTGTCATTCTATGATAGCATTTTCATTACTCAGTTTTCCCATTTGCACTGATATAAAATGGTGAAAATCTGAGATTACTTTTGAAAGAAGATAAATTACCAAGTTGGTGTTAGCTCTAATGTTCAAGGAAGTTATCCTAAGTACCATATGAAAACCTGGAAATATGTAAGAATTTCAATGGCATTTAGTGGCAATTTAATATTATGGACACATATAAAACTAGGTAGATACAGTATATTCAGAATTTTTTTTCTCAATGCTGAACAGAAAGTTATTAAAAACCCACCCTCAATACAAGCCAGGAGAAATTGGTGGGATATATGTTGTTACTTTCTACTTGAAGCACACATTGCTGTAACATATTTAGAATGGCTCCTTCTGGTATAATTATTGCAGTAAGCATCTCTTTTGAATTCTCTGCCAAGTCTTTTAGCTTATAATGCCTAAGCATGCCCTTAAGAAAACCTACTATGGAAATGCAGTATGGGTCCTTATCTCTGACAAAGAATATCCTGCAACTTAAAGGGAGAATTGTTTCCATATCTGAAAGGAATCTATCAATTGATTTATGAGCAAAGTACTGTTTGCTCATAAATCAATCTGAATACATATATAAAAAAATTATGCACACACACAATTCAAAATGAAGGTCTCTAAAATGATGCCCAAGACAAATGAAATATTTATGAATATCTCCTTTGGGGGTAACTTTAAAGCTCTTCAGATTTTTAATTTTAAATTAAAAGGAGAAGGAGAAACTTCCTGACAGTTAGAACAATTAACCAGTGGAACAACCTGCCTCCAGAAGCGGTGAATGCTCCAACACTGGAAGTTTTTAAGAAGAGACTAGACAGCCATTTGTCTGAAATGGTATAGGGTTTCCTGCCTGAGCAGAGGGTTGGACTAGATGACCTCCAAAGTCCCTTCCAACTTTTATTTTATTATTATTTTGTTAGAAAGCAAAGTGACAACTTTTAGCATTGTCATTATTTCACAAAAACATTGTGTAGCCACAAGCAAATTGGAAAATAAAAACAGTGAATATCTACAACTTAATTCTTTGTTATTAATGCACCCATTTCTACACAAAATCATTGGGGGGGGGTTAGAAAGAATGTGAGAACACTGTAATTATTTGGGATCTCAGTAATTGTTCATGCCTTCATTGCAACCATTTTGTGAAGAAGTAAGCTTCTTATAGAAGACTTATATCACCCACAATATACTCCCAAATTTCAAAGCTCATAATTTGTTTAACAAAGAAAACAAAGCCCCAAACAGATGTTAAAGAAAGCTTTTGTTATTTTCTTAACTAACCTTTCTGAAGCAACTGCACAAATATGAAGAGATACTATCAAAATCTCTACACAAGCCCTTTTGAAACACAAGGCTAATCTATCAAACTCTCTACACAATCCCTTTCGAAACACAAGGCTAATCAAGAAGGCATCCTCCAGTGCTAGAAAAATATCAAATTATACATAGTACGCCAACCTTAACATTTATGGATATTTATTATTACTTTTATTTTATATGATTTGGTGTCCCCATCTCCAACAATTCTGAGTGTCTCACAATTATAGAGAATAAGGAAGTGACTTTGATTAAGATATTCAAGGTGTGCTGCCTATGAAAAAAGCGGCTGAAACATTTTTAGGTCCAGACCGAATAGTTCAGGCAGCCACTTCCAGAATTCACTGACAAATAAGGGGGAGAAGATAAACAATCAGACTTGCAAGATTTTGTTATTGTAATCCAGGGGTCTTCAAACTTGGCCCTTTTATGACTTGTGGATTTCAACTCCCAGAATTCTTCAGCCAGCATGCCTGGCTGAGGAATTCTGGGAGCTGAAGTCCACAAGTCATAAAAGGGCCAAGTTTGAAGACCCCTGTTGTAATCAATCTACAGATACTCCACAACAATTTACCAATATCCAATAACCAACAGAGTCCCCATTCCAAGGCCTGGGAGAATGCCAAGATCTCTTTGGGCCCCTGGTAAGACAGTGTCATTCTACAAGGCATGCATTGAGAGATATTGTTTGATCAAAGGAACCTGGAGTGCACCAAATCTGTCAGCTCAAATCAGCTGGGAAGACCCCAAGGGACATAAGCGATCCCTTAAATCAGGAGTCCCCAATCCCTGATCCGTGGACCAGTACCAGGCCGTGGCATGTCAGCAACCGGTCCGCACAAACAAGCAAAGCCCCATCTGTGAGATGCAGGCAGCACACAAAACCATGCACCCTCTGGTCCGCAGAAAAACCTCTCTCCAGGGAACAGGTCCCTGGTGCCCAAAAGGTTGGGGACCTCTGCCTTAAATAACCATCATGTAGGGTATTGTAGGTCATAACCAGCACCTTGAATTGTACCTAGAAGCAACCTGATAATCATTGTAGTTCATGCAGTCATATGGGCATATAAAGGCATTCATTCTGGACCAATCAAAACTTCTCAATGGTCTTCAAAGGCAATCCCATGCAGAGTGTGTTCCAATATACCCATATATTTGGCAATGTCATATCAGAATATGAATTTTCAGTTTAGGTGAATGCCTAGTTAGATAGCTGTCCATTTCTGTTCTTGACACCACATTATCTTCTAACAAAACAGGTTGGAAAAGCATTCCCTACCTCTAATCTGTCATATTAAATCACAATCTAGAATACTTCATTTCAGATAGTTTTCAGTTTAAAATCTTGAACATACATGTCACATATTACTGATAAGAAACTTTACTACTTTTTAATTGAACAGTTCCCAACATCACTTTTTAGTAGGCATGTCAAACTCACGACATCACGTGACGTCACGCAACGTATCGGGTCGGTTTTGCCATTGCCGGCAATGAGGTTGGTGCAGCTTCCACTGACGTGTCCGGCCCACAGGCCGGCAGTTTGACACCCCTGCTTTATAGCTACCAATACACACAAATAAAAAACTAATGTAAGAATCTTAATGAATGTATTCATTGAGACTGAATTACTCTTTGCCTTATATATGTGATGTATTGGGACTGAATGACTCTTTGCCTTATTTATATGATTGTATTGTTTCTTGCTTCACACAGCTTAGCATTTGGGTCCAAATTGTGGACCTTAGGTTAACAATGTCTATTTTTCAGATGTATGCAGCAAAGGGCTGTTTGGTTATGCTAGAACCAAACATTCTTATTCAAGAGGGGGTTCCAAAAGCAATTGTTCAAAGCTGGGCTTCTCTCTTTGCTAGTAAGAAAAAGAAGAAAGTATACTAAATATGTACCATGTGGAGAAAGTGGGCAAAGATGACCAAGGGAGTGAAGAAATATTAGATTAGGACAAATAAGTAGTTAAATAAGCAAAAATCTGGTGCATTTCATCATAATATCTCTGCTAGATATAATAGATGTCTTTGTAAAACATACAGCTGGGAAAAAAGGAATGCTATTTTACAGTTCTACAAAATAATAAAAAAACAGAAAAGCAACAGAGGTGAAAAATGTTTGGACACAAAGTTGCAGATATACCCCATAAGCACAGACAAAAATTAATAAATCCCTTATTTTATTAACACGTGGATAATCTTAATGGTGTTGCAGGAGCAATGCTGAATTGCTTTCATGTGCTTCAAAGGTAAAATCATTTTTGAATCAAGCACAATTCCTGGTGTCTTCAGATACATCCTTACAATTCTTCTAAGTGACATTGTGAAAATCTCTTTTACAATTTCAGGTGATACAGAAGCTGTGAAGTGGCAGGATTTCCTATTACACAGACTGTACATGACTGTTCCTGCACTCTTGTTTAGATTTCAAATTACAGAGTCAACAGCCCCATGTAAAATATTTCATAAGATTTATATAAAATTTGCCTACTATATTCAATAATATACCAGAATTACTGAAATATTTTTAGCATTTGAACCATAATAGACATTGATATCATATATAACACAAGCTGTGAATGTTTCATTTCACCGCTCAACTCCAGGCAGTTTAATACCAAGTCTGTAAAATCACCTTTTTTAATCAGAAAATATACCCAACTTGTTCTCTGGGTCAGCAAAACATACTTGAAGATTATAGTTACTTTTCATAGTAAAAATATTCATCTGTTTGATTAATGCTACTTATAGAAAAAGAAGCTTATAGGAAAATAACAGAAACTGGTCATTCAAAAACCAGATTTGAATTTAAAAAAAACCTATTAGAACAGATTTATGAAACTTGGAATATTTGAGTAATAGATAACAGAAGCCCAATCTTAAAGAATATGGCAGGCTAATTGTTTAACACAGTAGCTAAAAAATGAAATACTATTTATCCATAAAGATTTACAGTGATTGTTTCATAAGCTGTCTTCCGCAGATCTTTATATATCAACATAAGATTTAACCAGAAAGATTTAAGACAGCAGTTTTCTGAAGCTTGCTACTCTTTGACAATTTTTTTTTTATTAAATCGTGTACTGTAAGTTAAAACCAGCTTAAGATGATTGTGGAACTAATAACTGCTTAGCTAGCATTTTCGTTGCTTTCACACTAGCAGTTTTCAAAAGTCCCTCAAAAGTTATTTTACTTCCATTGGGAAGGAGGCACCCACGACTTCCTATCTCAGCTGCCAGCAACTCCTCACGCTGGTGTATGACGGAAAAGGGAGTCTTTCTCCACCCTCCTCCCCATTCTCTTAACTCGCGTCCTCTTTCCTTTTGGGGGAAAGGTCCTATTGCACTAAGATGCGTCCTCTACAGCAAAATAACCCATGGGATATGTAGTGACCCACACTGGCAGCATGAACCCCGCGAAGAAACTTCTGACATACTTTCACACAAGCAGATTAAAGTCAGAGTCCCCTGCCCGGGTCCCGGAATGAATAAACTTAAGAAGGGGGGGGGAGAGAAAAACCGGCTTCCTTGCTCCGCCTGCCCTGCCCTCCCTTCCCTTCGGAAGATAAGAGCGCTCCCTACTCCCTGGAATGGGGACACCGCCCGGGGGGAGGGGGAGGGGAGGGAGGCCGCCGGCGGAGGAGGCGAAGGGAACGAAAAGCAAGAGAAGCCCTCCCTCCGGCCAGTTCCGGGTCTCCCTCCGCCTAGCCTTTATGGGAAGGGGAAGAAGTTAAAGGGAGCCGAGAGGGCGGCCCGCCGCCACTTCTAAACTTTCCAACTCGGCCAAAGAGAGGCCCAAGCCGGACAAAGCGACGCCACGCCATCTCCAACCCGCCTCCTCCTCGACCGAAAGTTACCTGCGGCGGCAGTTTATCCCCCTCCGCTGTGGCGACGGCGATTTAACGCTGGCTTTCCCACCAACAGGCCCGCCTCGGCTTGGTCTTCCCTCTTCCCCCGACCCCGCGCTTTGTCTCGCAGCGGTCGTCGGTTAGGTGCGGCCGCCTCGCTTGGCCTGGCCCTGGCTGCCTCCGCCGCGCCCCGTCCCAAACTCAGCTCGAAAAGTCCGCACGGGAGACGACGAGGAAGCGGACTCTTCCGGGCACCTCCCCCTGTGTCGCTTTCCCAGCTCTTCCCGGCACCGCCCTCTGCTCCTCGCCGGCTCGTCCCAACACCGCCCTCGGCCGCGTTGCTTCCCGGCCCTTTCCAACAGCGCCGGCTCTTCCGAGCACCACCCGCCTCTGAACGGCAGCAGGCAAAACCCGGCCTTTCGAGAGAGAGAGAGAGAGGAGAGAGAGAGAGCGCGCACGGGCGGGGGGAGGGAGGCGCGCAGGAAGTGGGTGAATCAGGGCGAGAGTTTCAGGTGAGAGTTTCAGGGTTGGCGCGGCCGGAGAAGGAACCGTATTCCGAAGATTCCCGACAGGCGCGTGTGCTTTTAACACACCTTTTTATGGACATAGGGGAGGGAAGTGTGTTTTCTTCGTTTTCCATATACGGTTGGGAGCGCCTGCGCTTCTTTTGCGAAAAAACAACAACAACCCCTATGAAATCCAGTGCAAGCGACGTCACGACTACGAGAAAGGCATTTTGCGAAAGAGTCGAGGGAGACTTCCGTGGAAGACTACCAGACTTTAGAAGAATTGGTTTTAAGTGCGCTCTAAATAAAAACAAAAGGTCAAGCAGAGTTTTACACAATTGTAATAAATGTTCAATTTGATCGCAAATGGTGAAGTGAAACTTTTTACCATATGGATGGTTAAAAAAAAAAGCCCTAATAAATTTGATGGCCTTTAAGCTCGCTCTTTTTATTTTTTTTAATTTGCTATAACAAATATATGGCTATTTTTCGAGAAACCTCCTTGATAAAATTATTTATTGAGAATGCTTACACCTCACTGTTCTTTTTAAAGAAAGAACTTAAGACAGCATAAAGTTGGGCCAAAAACATCCACAATAAAATACAACTTGAGTGCACTGGCTAAGTGTGATTGCTAGTGGAGCAGAAAACAATGCCAGCTCAGCCAGTTTTATTGTCAGATAAGCTTTATTTATTTTGTTAGAAAGATAGGTTCTTTCTGCTTTTTAACAAACTGTCCCGATCCTTCTCATATTCCATGCATTCTTCAGGTAGTACACATGGACCTGGATAAATACTTGTTGATGTTGATTTATCAGCTTTTTGCAATCTGGACCTCTTTAAGCATATTCAAATCTCAGCTCCCAGTTTCCTTCCTTAAGGTATGTTGGTAATACCAGCCAGGAATTCTAGGAACATCTCTGGAGGGCTTTTGGTTAGATAAGGTTGATTTTAATATTCAGATTGTTGTAAGTGGGTAGAGGAGGTATACTGAAGAAACCATCCTGACTTTTTTCTCATGTTAATTCTGGCAATCAAAGATATTCTAGGAATGGGGAGCTTCAGTACATCAGCTGGACCAAGGCAGTTTAGACCAGTTGTGTAGACTTGCTGGCTGAGGAATTCTGGGAGTTGAAGTTCTCATACTGAGATTGAGAAATATTGGTTTCGAATTATTGGTTCATAAGATGCCCACAAATTAGTTAATTAACTTCCCAGCTGAACATCATTTGGCCCTATTGTTGCAGCTGGTTTAATCTGAGTCATATTTTTTTCCCCCTAATAGCACAGCTCGTGGTCGTAGTGTGGTCTGTGAAGTTATTGGAGTAGGAGCTAGAAGATCCCAATTTTAGTCCATCCTCACCTATGGAAGGTCACCTAAAGCTAACTTTAGGCTGGTCACTGTCATCTCAACCCATCTCACAGGTTTGGTAGGAGGGAGTGTTAAGTACACTGCCAGGAAATTAACCGAATGAAAGGATGTACATCTAATTAAAAGCACTATCCAGCCACATATTTAAATATTTCAGTATCAAAATATGATGCTTGAAATATCAGACCTGAATCTAGGAAAAGTTAGCCAAGGAAATTTTATAGGATACAAATTTTGAAAGGATTTTTGTTCAACTAGCTGTAGGGATATATTTACATTATGCCAGTGGTGGCGAACCTATGGCACGGGTGCCAGCGGCGGCACTCAGAGCCCTCTCTGTGGGCATGCGCGCCGTCGCTCCAGTCCTAGGCCTTCAGCTGGGTTTTATAAAATCTTTTCGCTTTAGGCCTCCGCGGCCATGTGCAAAAAAAAAAAAGGTTCAATCAGTCAATTTCAACTTCTTGCGGGAAAAAAAAAGATCTTGCAAAATTGGAATTGATTGATTGAACTTTTTAGTCCCACCCAGTCTGCCATTACCACCACAGCCACTCCCACTCTGTGGGCCACGCCCACCCAATGGCCACAACCAGCCAATGGGCCACATCCAGCCAATGGCCACACCCACCCTGCACCTGACGATGCATAAATGGGTTTTGGGTTGCAGTTTGGGCACTCGGTCTCTAAAAGGTTCGCCATCAATGCATTATGCTAAAGAAATTTGAATATATAGTCTTCATCCCATTCTGGGAAGCACTACAGGTGATTTACAACTATTCATTTAGATACGACGACACTAAAAAAGTGACCGATGACCAGTTTTCACACTGTTGCAACATCCCCATGGTCACGTGATCAAAATTTGCATTGCTTGGCAACTGGCATGTATTTATGACAGTTGGACTGTTCCGGTGTCATCTGATCACCATTTGTAATCTTGTCAGCTTCTGACAAGCAAAGTCAATGGGGGAAGTTTAATAGCAGCATAATTCACTTAACAACTGCAGTGATTCATTTAACAACCCATGGCAAAAATGTAAAATGGGGCAAAACTCACTGAACAACTGCCTTGCTTAGCAACAGGAATTTTGGATGTAATATGAGGTCTACCTATATCTTGGTACCTATCTATATGCTGGCTCAGGAATTCTGGGAGTTGAAGTCCACGAGTCATAAAAGAGCCAAGGTTGTCTACCTCTGACCTATATTCACTTTAATAAACATAAATATGTCAATGATTTTAGTGTCAAGGGAACTCCTGTAAAAGATCAGATAACTTAGTATTTTCAGATGTACTAGGGGCATTGGGAATATTTTGTAGGGCGCTTTGGCTGCTGTGCTAATTTCTGCGCTTGCAGAAAGGAAGTTTTGCTTATTCAAATCTGATAACACAGATATTTAAAATGTGGCTACTAATATCAATGGAGCATATGATATAGTGCCTTTTTTTACAAAAACATATTTTCTACCATATGTTATCTTTAAGAATCAAGTACTATTTTAGAGATGGTATCAAATATTATAATGTAAGAGAGCAGTCTCTCAATTTACTAGAATGGATTTTCCACAAGACTGCTGTCTTTCTTTAAAACAAATGGTCATTTTAGAGTAGTGGGAAATGTGATAGATGCACTTTTGCTGTCTAACCTTCCAGTTTTAGAGGGGAGGGAAATTGCCTTAGATTTAGAGTTGACTTCCTTTCCAGTAAATTTCCAATAAATTCATAATAACTTTCCTGACTAGTAAATATAATACATAGAGGTAAGTCTAACTAAGGATACATTTTACTTATTTGTCATTTTTATGGGCAGGTGGGCATACTTCCAAAGTGTTGGGTTGTAGCTATCCATCATTTTTATATTGTAAAATATAAAATATAAATATAAAATATATGTAGTCTGTACCATCCCTAGAGACATTAGTAGAGGCAAAGTTAATACTAGAGTTGGATACTTTATTTCCAACATGTCACACGTACATTTATTTCTTTGTTTAACTGAAATAATTGAATGAAAAATTGGAATTAGGTAGAAAAAAAGAGCTCAGGGTGCCAAGAAATGCCATCTGCCAGTGTATAGGCAGATATTCTGGTCTTTCTGCTGGTGGATTGCCTACTCTGCCATAGCTCACAATGGCTTACCATCATACAGTACCTTGTTTATTGCCTGTGTAATACCATGACTTTGGGAGAACAATGCATTTACAGGTTGTTGCTGTTTTTTTGAAACTTCACAAGAAAGAATGTTCTACTAGCAAAATTTTGGGTTTGTTTGGTATAGCCGGCATGACCTTCATAGTGTTCATCTTGTATTTACCATCCTGTAATTTATGGTTCTTGCATTCTCTTATCTAGAACATAGTTCATGTTTGTCCAACCTTTGACTTGCCTGGGCCAAAGGTTGAGTGAAGAGAAATTGCCTTGGGTTGCATATAAAATATATAATACTGTTAATGTATATAAATAACAATTTTCCTTTTTTAATATTTTTATTATCTTGTGGGACTACATTACTAGCTGTCTAGGGCTGCATGTGGCCAATGGGCTGTGGGTTGGACATGCCTTGTTTGAAAACTAGCTACTGTACTTCTAATTTCATGTCAAATTTATCCACCATTTTGGTGTATGGAAGCCTATGCAGTTCCCTAAGACCTTTCCACTGACAATGTGTGTCTTAGGTAGCTGATGAAGGGACCTAGGCATGTAATATTCCTGCTGATGCCCCAGCTGCATGTATATAAAACTCTTCATGGCTAGGAAGAACAAGTAATGCTATACTTATGGGTTGGGGAATGATAAGATTTTCCAGTAGCTCCCAGCAGTCCTCTCTGACGTGACTGGATAATTTGTTCACTCAGAAGTCCCAGGCAATGCACATGTTACTCCTAGATGCCCTCACCCGTATTTAGAATTCCAGTGGTCTTGTAGTTTGCTGGAACATACATGGTTGATATTGTGGCTACTATTTTATGAATCCATTTTTCAAAAAACTCCTTCAGTATTGTTATTGTCATAACTTTTTGCATCCTGTTATCAGACTGTATATTTTTTCTATACCTAAAATCTTTAATCCCCTTTAATGCCCAGTTTTTGAAATCATAAAATTGCTTATCTGTGGTGTGTCTTGTAAAAACCCAAAAACATCTATTTCCCATGGCAAGCTGTTTGTACTTTACAAATTCCAAAATCTTACTGTAAAAATTTCAATATTCCAATTTTATCTGGACTCTTAGTCTGTTTATAACTTTCTTAGATCAAAATCTTATGTAACTTTTTTGCAGTTTATTTTAGTTTCTTTGAATTCTTAAACTTATGATTATAATTTTCTTTCTTTCCAAATTGAAAGGAGACTCCTAGTGTTTTCAAA